ACACCGCCCACCCGCCGCCTCTTCTGTCCCTCACGTCGGGTCTACCTCGGGCCTCCCAACTCAGATTTTTCTCTTCCCTTGGACAAAAGTTGTCATTGGTTTAAAAAAAAGAGAGAGAGAAAGAGAAAGAGATGAAGTAAGCCAAGGTCCAGAGCCCTCCCTTGTCCTAGGAATATCCAACCTGGGGAGGAACTGAGGGAGGGGAGAGGGAGGGGGAGGGGGGAAAGAGAGGAACAACGAGAAACCAAATGTGAGACTGAAGGGAGGGGTCAGGGCGGGCCTGCTGCACCTTCTAGAGGCCCGAATGGAGGGGAGGGGGGCGAGGCAAAAAGGGAATGGTGGTGGCGTCGCCTTGTGGTCACATTAAATTTTCTCGGTGTGGGGAGCACGACAAAACAACAAAAAAAATCAAAAAACAAAAAAAAAAACGAAAAACAAAAAATACAGCAATCAGGCATGAAGATGGCATGGCTGCGCCTCCCGGTCCCTTCCCACCCCGGCCAGCACCCCACTGTGCTCCCCCTCCCGCCCCCCAGGGGCCTGGGCCAGGGGCCAGGGCCGGGAGCAGCGGGCAGGGGGCCTAGTGGTGTGCTGGCTGGTGCGCCTGAGGCCGGGGTGGCCATGGTGGGGGGCTCAGGTTTGCTCTCATCCGAGCAGGAGGCTCCGTGGCCTTCTAGGTTGGGGGAGACGTGATGATGGGCAGGGCGTGGGGGGCTTGTCTGTTTGCAGTGGAGACTGTTTGGATGGGCTGGGGCGCTGTGGTTTCCGTTTCATCGTCCACTTACAAGGTGATGGAGGAGTCAAGGCGGCGCCGTCTGGGGCAGTGCTGGTGGATTTGGAATCAGGCATAGGAAGGGGCACAGGTCTGGCCACTGGAGGCGGCGGCGGTAGCAAAAATGACCCCGGGACTTTGCCCTGGCCGCTACCGTTGGGCTGCGAACAACATAAATAGAGTGACGCATGAAGGCACATCACACACAGACACACGCTCCCCTGCGCGGCCACGCCAGCTCGCTCCTGAGAGCGGGCGCTCCCGGCGGCGGAAGGTGCAAACAGGGTCCTCTCCTCCGGGCACAGGGTGGGTGAGGGTGGGAGGCCTCGGTTTGGTCTCTCAGGTGTTTCTCTCTCTCTGTTTTTTTTTTTTTTTTATCTTTCGTGGTCCTCTTCTGAAGTTGTGGGAGGAGGAAGGGGGTGTCCGACGGGTGGTTTGTTATTTCTCAGGGAATGTGTTTTCGGTACCAAAAACGTGCCACCTAGCCACAGAGCAGCTGCACCTAGACTCTCACTCCTGAAGACCTTCTCCTCTGACAGAAAGATGCACCAGCTTTCCTCCTCCCTGTGTCCCCCCAACACACACACGAGCGCCCCCTCTGCGGGGGCAAACAGTTACCCTGGGGTGGGTCTGGTTGACCCAGTGGGGACTGCCATCCTCCACCCCACATCATGGCCCGCGGGATGCTGGGACTGGGGGGCTTGCCCTCGGCTCCAGCAGCCCGAGGATGGTGGGGAGCTGATCCTTTTGCTATGGAAGAGCCCGGGAGGAAATCCATTCCTTAGCGGACATCCTTGTACAAGGCTTTCAGACACCAGGGTGCCAGGCCACTAGATCCCTTCCTTGTCTTTCATTCCCTCCTGTACCTCAAACTCCTGTGCGTGGCCTTGCGTGCATCAGCCTCGGAACTCCCAAAGACCTAGGTGCCACATGCGAGGCAAAGGTCCCTGGAGAGACCTCCCTGAGCTGGGGGCACGTACCTCCCCCTGCTCTGGGCAGTGTCCCCGAGGACCACCAGCAGCCGGAGCTCAGGGGAGCTGGGCCAGAACTCTTCATCCTAAACTGGCCTCTCTCTCACGGGGCAACACTCTGCCCTCCCAGCCAGCCAGGTGTGAGAACTTGGGAAGTTTTCCTGCTCCTCCTTCAGCTGGTAGGCCACCCCACCCCATGGATGTCTGCCCATCTTTCTGTCATCACTGGTTTTGCCTGGACAACGACAATGAGACTTGCAGGGGGGTCTCCCCTATGCCGGCTGTGCTCATCAGCTCAGTGCCCTGGGTGCCTAGCTCTGTGCCAGGTATTTTACTCATCTTGTGTTCCGTCCGCCAAGGAACCTGTCCGGCAGCAGTTCTCGCTTGGGGGCAGTTCTGCTCCCCAGGGGGCACTGGCCATGTCTGTAGACATCTCGGTTAGCACAACTTCCGGGGGCTGCTGCTAGCCGCTGGTGGGTGGAGGCAGGGAGGGCTGCTCAGCACCGTATAATGCCCAGGGTGCCCCCCAGGATGAGGGCTCATCGGTCCAAAGGTTACCGGTGCTGCAGGTGGGAAACCCTGCTGCCAGGGAAGCTCCGCCCTCCCTCCCCCTTTCACAGCTGGGGAAACAAGGCTCTGTGCAGCTACGTGGTTGATGCAGTCGCTGGGCTGTGACTGGTGAGGCCTGAAGTTCACGGCCGTGTCTGTCTGACTCCATGGGTCCTATGGGTTTTCTCCAGCAGGTGCAACAGCCCTCCTCCCAAATCCCCAGGTGCCCAGAGTCTTCCTGTCTCGGGAAACCTTCCACGGCTCTGACTGCATCTGACATAAAGGAGGGTCTCCCCAGTTGGGATTCAAGGACCCCATGGTGGAGACCCTCCCAGCACTGGTGCCCCTATAGCCCCTCCTCTCAGGTACATCCCATTGCAAACCGACTGGGGCTTCCAGACGCAGCCTCACAGTTGGGCTGCGCACCTGCTCACTGCAGGGCCCTCTGTCTACAGTGCCTTCTCCTACACTTCCCAGGCCTGCTCACAAAACACCGTCTCCCACGTGGGGACCAGCCAGATTCCCTGAACCACCATCCACCTCTCTCTGCCCTGTGGCTCCAGGATGCTCTTGACCTCCCCTGGGACCTTTAAAGCAGACTGCCTGCCACCCAGGCTCCCCAGCGAGTCACAGGCCACCTCTGTGTGGCTCAAGCCTGCAGCACTCAAGTCCCAGTGACTGAGTTGAATCAACAGTGCCCCCCCCCCACCCCCGGCCCCGGCCCACTGCACATTAAAACCACAGAGGCCCACGCTGACTCATGCAGGCCACGCCCCTCTGAACTCTGACCGTTCTGCCCACCATCCTTCACCTCAAGTGACCAGCGTAGGTCGGACATCGTCCCTCCAAGAGGTCCCTCCTGGACTTGACTCTGCTTGCCCACTCAGAGGCCCTGACAGAAGCAGTGGCTGCTGGTCCCGGGCTGGAGACCCTCTGTGTCAAGTGTCCTTTCAGAGACGGTCTGAAAGGACAGTTCCAGACACGGGCCAGAGGGCTCTCCAGCTCTGCAGGGTTGATGCTGAGACACAAGCAGCAATTGCCTTCCCTCCTTCCCACGGCCTATCTGGTTCCTATCTTTCTTTCCCACCAGGGCAGGAAACTCCACAGATCACAGCCTCTCTCCTCTTCTCCAGGCGCCATCCTGAGCCTGGGCCCCGGGGAAGCTGGGACATGGGGGCTTCCGCGGCAGCACTTGCTCCCGGGGCAGCCTCTACCTCCTTCTCCAAGCACCCGAAGGGCGTCCCCAGAGCCAGTCCATACCCAGGAGGATCTAAAGCACGAGTCCCACCCAATAAAGCTAACCCCAGCTTGATATGGCTGAACACCAACATTTGCTGATTTACAACATTCGGTCTCTAGAAGCAACTTCCAACCAGGCTAGGATGTCTCTGCTCTGGTTGGGTTATAAGTGGATGTTTGTAAAATCTCAAGGTCTTGTGACTCGCAGCAGCATCTTACGACCTCACGAGTTAAGAGCTATAAGCGCAACCCGGCCGGCGTGGCTCAGTGGTCGAGAGTGAACCTATACACCAGGAAGTCACGGCTCTATTCTCAGTCGAGGCACATGCCCGGGTGGCAGGCTCGATCCCCAGTGTGGGGTGTGCAGGAGGCAGCCAATTAGTGATTCTCTCTCATCACTGATGTTTTTCTCTCTCTCCCCATCTCCCTTCCTCTCTAAAATCAATCTATCTATCTATGTATCTATCTATCATCTATCTATCTATATTTTAAAAGAGCTAGAAGTGCATGCTAGTGACAGATGAAGAGGAGGGCTTGCCTGGCTGCTCCAGCATTGCTGGTGGAAGCTGAGCCAAAACTGGCCTCCTGCCCCTCACTGAGCCCTGGGACCTCTCCCTTGCACTGGTGGTCTCTTCTCTCTGCCAGAAAAAACAGCTAACAAGTCACCTTCTTTCTGTTCTTTGCACCTCCCCTGAGCGGTGTCTCCGTTTGGCCTTGGCCTTGACTGATGTGGTTCTTCTCAGTCAGGGCCTCACACTGGGGTCCGAGGCTAAGCCATAGGGGGCACCGGGCATGCCTTCTGCAGGTCATCTGTAAAATCTTTGTATGCACACACACATTTTTCTGTCAAGATGACCTGCAACTTCAAACTCTCACGGGAATGAGGCATTGACTCCTCTGGGCTCTGGATCAGGGGTTCTCAAAGTGGTCCTCTGACCAGAAGCAGCAGCAGCTGAGAACTGGGAGAGAAACGCAGGTTCTCAGGCCCACCCAGACCGGCTGGATCGGGATCAGGTGAGACCCAGCCCCCTGCGTGCCCGCCAGGCCCCCGGGTGACGGGTGATGCCCTGCGTGCTGGCTTCTCTGCTGGAGGTGGCCAAGGGGCAGGTGCCGCCTGTGTGGCCGCCCCCTGCCGCAGAGTCAGCTGCAGAGCCTGGGCCTCTGGTGCTCTCCTCCCCCACAGCATGGTGCCGTCTCTGGCCTCCTCTCAGAGGCTGGGCCACCTGGAGCAGGCTCACTGCAGACGCCCCCCTCCTCTCTTGGGCACCACAGGCCAGAAGAAGAAACCCAGAGAGGCTGATGCCCAGCCGAGCTAGTCTCCCTGTCTAACCAGGGTAGCTGTTCACCCCCGTCTGTAGCGTTTTGTCCACCGTCTATTTGGAGAAAGCACCTGCCTTGAGAAGAGAACCTTCTAGGCCAAATGAGACCTTAACCTTGAACAGTCAAGTCAAGGGAGAGGGTCAGGACTCAGCCGCCAGGATGCCCCAGGGAGGGACCAGCTCTCCGGGCTAAACTGGTCGCCCAGGTTGGTCTCACTGAGTCCCAGCCCCGGCTGTCTCTGTAGGTGAGAAGGCAGGCAAGGCAGGTGGAGGGAACACTCCACACCCCAGAAGTCCCAAAGGGCCTGGTACAGGGGCTGGCAGTTCCCAAGGACTCTGCCGGCATCTCTGGAGAAAGTGCGGTAGCTGTTGGGGGTCACGTTCACTTTGCCCTGAGTGCCCCTGAAGTGAACAGCGCTTGTCCAGAGAGGTGGGCAAGCCTCTGAGTGTGCTAAGGAGCTGCAGAGCCAGGAAGAGAAACCCGTAAAGGGCCCAGGGGGAAAGGAGCTGGAAAACAGAAGGAGAGAGAGCAGGAGGGAGGGAAGACGAAGTGAGGAGCCCCCCATCAATAATGCCCCCGCACTTAGCAGACGGCCACCCTGTGTGGGACGCCTGAAGGGCCGCCCCTGCTCTCCCTGGGTGTGGTCTGGCATGAGTCTGGCCCTTTGAACGGCCTCCCTCCCACCCCCCAACCTCTCACAGGGGGCTCCCGGCTGGACGGCTGGGGGACAGGAGCTGGGCCTTCTTGCTGTGCAGCATGCTGCTGGGGCGCCAGCACCTTTCCAAAGGTCGAGAGATCACTGTGCCCCAACCCAGTGTGGTCTCCTGGGGACAAGGTGAGGACCACTGTCCCCCTGCAGGGCTGTCTCTGGATCACCACTGTTTGGAATAATTCCTTTCCTGAGTGACCCCGAATTTCTGCTGGTCAGTGACCTGGGTCCTAGGGCTCATTGACAGAGAACAGCAGTGCCCCCCAGCCCCCACGCAGCTTCACAGGAAGCCAGTGTCTCCCAGGCTGAGGAGCAGGGCTGCACTACAAACCTAGAAGCAACCTGGAAACCGCCTGTTCAAAGTCCTGCCAACCGGAGTCTCCATGACAGCCCTCGTGGCCAAGGACGCTGCCCAGCACCCCACGATGCCCAGCACAGCCTCACACCACAGAACGATGAGCAACCCCAAATGCCAACAGTGCCACCGTGGGGAGATTTTGATCTAGAAAATCCTTGCAGCCCCGAGGCTTAAGAGGGATGTTAGGAGGTGAGGGGCCTGGTCTGGGTGGCACAGCTCACGGGTGCCCTCGTGGGGGAACAGAGACTGAAGAGAGGGCCGGGAGCCCGAGCAAGGTGTGGGCCCTGCTGCTGCCCCCGCCTTTCTGGACGGTGACAGAGAGGCTCCGGCACGATACACAAACCCCTACCGCAGACCAGAAAACTAAGGTGTCCGCGCCACTGGCTCCCTGCTGCTCCCGTCCCGGGTGGGCTCGGCTCTCAGGCCCTCTCCCTGTGATCCTGACACAGACGGACAGACGCAGAGATGAGCTGTGGTGGGGCTCCCGGGCCTCTGGACTCACCTGTCCGGTGGCCTGGCCCGAGCCATCTGAGCACACAAACTGCACAAACTCCTTCAGCGAGTCCTGCCCGTGGTGGTGGTGGTAGCGGATGGTCGGGTGCGTGAAGTACGGGCTCGACTGCTGGATGATGGATGTGGAGGGGAAGTGCAACGCTGACGCTGTGGCCCGAGGGCTCCCTGCATGCACGTGGGCGGGAAGAAAAGGGCATCAGGGTGGGGAAGATGAGGGAGATGCCCTGAGGAAAAGGGAGAGTGGGCGGGAGCAGGGCCGGGACCAGGGTAAGGAGAGTGAGGGTCTGGCCTCTGGCGTGGATGTTGAGACAGCACAAAAAAGCCCTCAGTAATCAAGGTAAGGAACATTTTAATGCGTATTTTAAAAAATCCAATTGGCAAATGGGGGCTTGCACACCCATCAGCTGCTTGTCTTGACAAATAAAGTTTGATTGGGACCAGGGCCAGCGTTAACGTGAGGCAAACGAGGCAGGGCCATGCAAGGATAGCATCAGATCCATCTTTTGTTTAAAATGTTTATATTTGCTCTTTGGTTTTTTTTGCGATAGTTTTATTTTTTAAGAATATTGCATTAGCTCTAGCTGGTTTGGCTCAGTGGATAGAGATTTGGCCTGCGGACTGAAGGGTCCTGGGTTCGATTCCAATCGAGGCACATGCTGGGGTTGTGGGTTCAACCCCCAGTGTGGGGCATGCAGGAGACAGCTGATCAATGATTCTCTCTCGTCACTGATGTTCCTATCTCTCTCTCCCTCCACCTTCCTCTCTGAAATCAATAAAAATATATTTTGAAAAAGGACATTGCATTAAAACACCACTTATCCTGACGACTGAATTTTGGGTGCCCCCTTAGAGTTTGCTCCCAAGGCGAGGTCCAGGGCTAGGATGGGAGCCTGGATGAGGGAGAAGAGGAGACGGACACGACGCCCGCACCTTGCAGGACGCAACGTGCACATACATCAGCGTGTGAGCAGGTGTGCACCTGGCCGCTGCTGCCTAGGCCACGTTCTTGTGTGCTCAGCCCCATCACCCTTGCACATGCGCCCTCGCACACACAACTCCCTTCCCGGTCCAGGCCCCAGCTCTTCCCCAGCCAGTCCTCTCCCTCCCGTCTGTTTCCAATCAGCTTGCTCTTGCTCTTGGTTTCATTAGGGGGCTGAGGAAACTTGGCTTCTCTCTGGAGTTCATAAAAGCTGAGTGGAGCTGGGCTCCCTGCCCCCACGCTGAGGCCACCACGCCCGCCCCAGCGCAGGCTGCCTCTGGGCTCCCAGCCAGGAGGCCCTGAGGAGGAAGCCGGGAGGGTAAACCTTGCCATTCTCTGTGTCCTATAGAAGGGCCCAGGAGATGGTGGGCGGACACAGGGTTGTGTCCAGAAAAAGTCCAAGCCTATTTCTGCCAGATGGGTGCTGAGGTGGGGGTAGAAACAAGAGCGGGAAGAAGCAAATGAGGGGGTGGTGAGGACTCGGCTCCCACAACTTCCTGCCTTATTCCATCCCCTGGGGAACATCGCGGTGTCCTCCCTGCCGAACACCTTCTCCTGAGACTGAAGCAAGAGAGCCCCCAAGTCAGCAGCCGGTTCCAGTCCTGGGAGAACAGCCCAGGTGCCACGGGTGATCCCTGGGTTCCCGAGTGCCCTTGCAATCTGCGCCCCGTGCCCACCTGGGTTGGTGCGGGGAGACCGGACCTCTGCCCAGGAGCCGGGAGAGCAGCTGAGAGGAGGGCAGAGGGAGAAGCTGAGCTTTCCCAGCCACAGCTGGTGAGAGGAGAGGAGAACCCGGCAGGCCTGAGGGCAAGTCAGGCCTGTGCACACATCCATGCACACACATCCCAGCACACGTTACGCAGCCATGTGCACACATGCACTCAGTGCATGCATACACACAGGCACCCGGCACACATGGAAGCATGCACACACAAGTGCACCCAGGGAGGGAGAAGCAAGTAGGAGAGCACTTGGGAATGCGGTGAGGAGGCTGGGTCTCCAGTCAGTGCTGCCGTGGGAGGAGGGCCCGTTCCCTCGCCCACCCACTGTCAGACCACAGCTCCTTAGAGAGCTTGGGGCCCTCACTCTGATGGACCTGGCCCCTTCACCTGGCCGGCTGCCCCTCGGTGCTCCGCCACCTCCCCAAGAGTCCCCCTCCGGGCCCTCATGTCTCACCTGGTCTGACTCCAGCAAGCACAGGCAGCGGGTGGTGAGTGAAAGCCATGCGCGGGGAGCTGCCCTGAGAGGAGAGGGCACTGCAGAAGTCCAGCTTTCCTGACTTCTTTAGAGAAGCCGGGCCTGGGGGGAGGAATCAGCAACACAGGGCAGGTTTAGCTGGGCCAGGGCGGGAGCGGGGAAGGCAGGAAGCCAGCAGCTCACTCCTCTCCTCAGCCCCCTCCTGGCTGCCCCTTCCCCCACCGTGCTCCCTCCTGCCACCTTTGCCCCATCCGGCTATTTCTCAGGCCCCGTGTGCAGCCCAGCCAGCACTGGGTGCCTCCGACAGGAGAGGAAAATGAGGCACTTGGGTGTGCTGGGCAGGGGGTCCATCTTGCCTCCTGACAATCCGATAATGAGCTCAGGGGGCACAGATGAAAAGGTCGGATCCAGGAGCAGGGGACCAGGAAGGGCCCTGGGGTCAGAGCTGGCCAGGCAAGGATTCCCTCGGCCAAGGAACCCAGAGGTTGGACTGCCTTTGGATGGGGCATTTGTT